CAGTTAAAAGATTATAAATAAGATATTTAGGAAAATTTCTGTTTGTCATACAATATTATTTGCTAAAATCTCCCTACATGCACAAAGGGCTACCTCATAAGACACCCAAATAATGTTAATATGTAGAGTTTATGATTTGTTATAACCCATTGAACAGCGCTACGGAATTTGTTGGCGCTTTATAAATAATAAAATAATAAAATAATAATAATAATAATATTCTGAGCCATAATCCTCAGCCAAATTTCACCTGGCTGACAGTGACAGGAGTTACAGTCTACAACAGGTTGAAAACAAGTACCACAGAGTTAAATCCTCCTTAATCTTAGCACACACCAACCCTAAAACCATGCTACCCATCCACACACTAATAATAAGTTCTCTTTAACCCTTATTCCAGAAGCATGGTTTAACTCACACATCTATTTCAATGTTATTGGGTTTTTTTTTCTTCAAAACTTATTAACCTCAGCAAAACAGAGAGAGAGAGAGAGAGGATAGATAGATAGACTGTCTGATCGATAGATAGATAGATAGATAGATAGGTCAGACAGACAGACAGATAGATAGATAGATAGATCAGACAGATGATAGATAATGTGAAGCCTATTTCTAGGTGAAAATATGCTGTATTCACGAGTTCCCCAGTTGTTAATGGCTGCATATAGTTCAAATACCTTTTAATGGACCTCACAGTTGAATACACAAGTAAATTACATTCTGACAGAACAGGGCATTAGCAATTAGTTACAGTACAATTCCCTCTCCCTCTCTGTGGTGTTGCTCAAACACTTTCAACACTTACTGAATAAAAAAATAAAAAGATGTCACTGTAAGTCCCACCCAGTCCTGACGGCATCGTATGAGTGGTGTTGAGAAGAGGATGTGAGGGACACTGGCAGGACCAATGAGATTTCCACTCCTGGAGAATGTCCCCAAGTGACAGCTCGAGGCAGAGTTACTGCTCCCACACTGCCCAGGATAGAGTCACTGAGACACACCATGTATACACCAGCACCTTCAGCTGAGGAGACCAGCAAAGTGTCCCAACCTGCTGCACAGCACCTCCTCACTTCACATTTCATAGACAGAATCCTGGGATGGTCCAGGAACTCAGCAGACAAAAAGGAACCCTCAGGAAACTTCACCCATGACTCATTGGATGGTGAGTAGAACTCTGAGTCTTTGGGCTGTGTGTTGTGCTGCAGTTTGGGGGATGTAGCATCTAATGAAGATATCATGATACTCAGGTATAAAGTGTATCTGAATTTAGTCCTGCAGAATAACAGTCTTTAGATACACTTGTTATAGTGCAGTTAGGAATGCATGTTTCTTCACAAATCAAATAGGGATCGTTTTAAAAGATGTATTTTACAGGATACAGGATAAATTATAGTAAGCAGCTGTACGTACACTTCCATAGGCTTCACTGTTAATAGTAAGATCTGGTCATTTTAACAGTGGCCCCTTAGGGAGTAGATGACCCCTGCAAAGAGACTCTGCTAATTATTGGGAAGAAGGGAATTATCTGATCAGCAAACATGCTGTGTTAGGGTTCACAGTTAAAGTTGGGGCTGGGATTAGAGTTTGATTTACAGGGTTATTCACTAATGTGAGAATTTGAAGTGAATTTGAAATTTAAGATTAACATAGCCAAGCTGGAAAAAAATCTTTAAGTCTTCTATGCTTTCAGTTCAACTACTCTGGCTTGAAATTTAAAATTCACTTTGAATTCTCACTTTACTGAATAGCCCTGATAGTGTTAGGGGTACTGTTATGGTTGGTATTATGGTAAGTGTTCGGGTAGGGTTATTATTAGGAGTAAGGGTAGTGTTCATAATAGAGTAATGTAAGAATTAAGAGTTTTAATGTTTGACCAGAACCAGGACATTCTGCATCCCCTTCCCCCCCGAGCGGGATTTTAAATAGAAGGTGAGCTTAGATAGACACCTATGTGCTACATTTATCATCAATATGTGGAAAATGAAGGATAGCTCCAATTTGGTAACTTGTGTAGGGCCCTTTGGGATCTTAATCCTTCTCTGCTTCTAATGAGGACATCACATGGTCAATTGACCATGTGCTTATGAACACTGTGGGGTTGAAAGGGTTAACAGAAACATAGAATGTGAAGGCAGATAAGAACCATTCGGCCCATCTAGTCTGCCCAATATTTCGTAAATACTTTTAATTAGTCCCTGGCCTTATCGTAAGTCTATTAAAGCCTTATGCCTAACCCACGGGCTCACTCAGCGTCGGTAGTGCATCGGCTTTGGCGCCAGGAGCGATCCCCTCAAGGGCAGCTATTATTCTGAATGTCCACGTGGTCAGTGTTCCGATTAGAACGCTTGTCTGTGATGACATTATTCGGCGGGAATAAACCTATTATATAAGCTGTTCTGAGATAACAGCTTAGTGCCAGCGGAACCAATAGTGAGCTGGGCGCCTGCGATTTTGTGCTGAAGTTGCTTCCCCACCCTCCCTCCTTCCCTATTTTTTTATTTTTGTTGTGGTCTTTTATTGGGGTAAGGTCACCTGCCTATTCAATTGGGGATGGTGTTGGTTTTTGATATGTTTACGTTCTGGCTATTTAGTGAGTCATCATAAGGTAAATCTCTGGGTGATTTTGAGACCGGAGATTTTTGGTTACAAGTTACCTGGTTTTCAAAGTGAGTTACGTTATTGTTACAGTGTGTTTATAAACTAAGGAAAAGACCACAGCCTTTTCTTCCACATATCTGTCTAGGTGTGTTTATTATTACAATTATATTTGTGTGGTTTCTTATGTATATGGTTTTAATGATAACATCTGCCGGGCACAGGGCAGTTCAAGATTTATGGGAGTTACTGTCCCCGACATCAACTATTTCATCTGATGCCCAGGACTGATTTAATTCAGATAGTTAAATTAAAAAGGCAGCAGCTAACAGCCAGATGTATTATCTCATTTGTAGAATTGTTCAGATTCTAACTGAGAATCGGGGCCCCTGTAGTGCACAGTGGCAAATCATGCATTATTCTTTATACATAGGGGGCATAAACCACACGGATGATGTGACCACAGAGATTGTAAAACATGAAATAACAACAAAGTCTCTGCTTACTGATATACGTTATTTGGATGTGCTAACATTTAACTTTTTCCTTTTTATAATCTTTGTGTCCTTTAACAAGAAATTTAAAAATAGTTTTCTAGAATAGTTTGTTGTATCCTTTTGTATCCTTGTTTATAAAACATTGGCCTTATTGTTAGACTAGCTAGGGTAACTTTGTCACCTGTTTAATAGAGAATATGTATTAAAAAAAACTGACAGGGCATAGCATTACTTTTTATATTCAATACACAACTTGAATCTTTAATTGCCATTTATCATGGCAGTTGAGAATTCAGACCATGCATAATCTTAGCATACATTCTGCTGCCGTTAACCCCTTCACTACTGGATATTTCTTCATGTAGCACTTAGTTGAAACCTGTAATTAACAGATTACATCTCAACGTCAATACAGCAATTTGCCTTATTTAATTAAAGTTACATTGTTTGTTTGTTTGCTTTTTGTTACAAATCATTTTTTTTAAATGAAACTTTGTTTATTCATTTATTTCTTTAATCTTTACAGAAATATCGGAGGAAACATTTTTTAAGGATTATATAATACCATTTTTTACAGGATTTATACTGCCTTAAATAAATAGATTTAAAAAAAAATGAAAAATCTGTTACATACTATAAGGTTGACAAAAATAAACTCTGTTTGTGGGTATGTGCATCTTCCAAAATGCCTGAAGGATATTATAATGTAACCTGTACGTGGCATTAATGTCAAGATAGAGAAGGTACAGCTATCGAATAAACAGCTGAAGAAAAGGGCCTTGTTTAATTTTAATCCTTCAGCTGTTTAGTTGGTTGCTTCTTAATTTGGGTCCCTTACATGGCATGGAAACATTTAAGGATATCAGATAATGGAGCTATTTACTAAACAGCTCTCTAATTTGGTACTCGTAGATAGGGTATTCCCACAAAAGAATACCAAATTATGGAGCTATCTACTAAACTTAATTTTGATCTTTCAGTGTTCTGAATCCATGAATGACCGAATAACGTGACAATTGCATCCATCATGTGATTTGGGACTCATTCAGTTCAGTCATTTGTTATTAAAACAATGTCTAGTTAATAATGTAATTTTCTTATGCACATGATGTAAATTGCGATATTATGCATGTTCCAGCCAGTTATCCAAAAATAATGTCCTGTGTACTGCAGTGTCCAGACCACAATGTATTGTGTTATCTGGTGTTATTAGTACAGATATTAGTGCTTGGAGTTGTAAAATGACTAATGGATTTTGAATCCTTACTTGTCATGTTTTCTGGTTTTCCAAAACAATGTATTAAACATATACCTGTCCATTGAGACACAACTTTGAATATCTAACAATTCCTACTTTTTGGAATAAGCCTGTCAAGAATTCATAGTTAATTCAAAGGGAATTAAAGGCCAAATTGAATTAGTAATATTCTCCAAATAAGTTATTCTTGAATTTTAGATTTTTTTGTCCTTTGTGAGTGCATAAGATTAGTTTTTTTTTAATATTCTGTGTATAAGAAATATCTGCACTATCTTGTACCTCTCTATCTTTTACAGCAAGAAAGGTAGAAGAGAGGGAAGTACATTTTACTATTATTATCACTTGCTCCACCTATTTTTTGTGTATTATATGTCATTTTATGTGAAGGTGTAGGGGATACCTCACTGGTGTTGAGAGCAATTATCACTTCTGTAGACATACCTGTTTGTATTATTTCACAGTATTTAAAGTTACACTAAATTGGGATATTTTCAGCAATGTACTATATATATAATCTACTGATAATTATTTTTCCTACAAAATATAAAGCTAGCCAATTTATAATATGTCCTTTTATTTCAGTTTTGGAAACAGACGCACAGCTTTCATCAAGGTTAATTTGTAATACAGGAACTAATGTCCAACTCATGGCAGAAGACTACGTCACAAACAGGCAGCGAGGGGACAATGGACACAGCTCGGTGGTGGACTCCGCTAAGGAAAAGATTGATTCTGAAGAAAAAAGGGATGAAAGTTCTAAACGCTCCTCTAGTAGCTCTGAACTCATTATGCTTACTGGTACAGTGAAAAGGAAGCAACGTCGGTATCGAACAACCTTTAGTAACCAACAACTCGAGGAACTCGAGAGGGCATTCAGGAAGTCCCACTATCCAGATGTTTTCACCAGGTCAATATTTTCTGAATGTGATACTTATTTTGGCTCTAGTATTGTCATCTAAATTTAGAATGATAGGGGAATACACAATGTATGTTTGGACATGCCATCCTTCCAACCAGCTTTTATGGTCCCGGTTATTTTCAAATATTCAATATGGCGATTGAAACTAAACTGGCGAATCTCTAAATCCTGCATAATTAGGATATTTGATATGTTATCCACTGTTAGGTGCTAATATTCATTTAAAAATAAGGATACATTTTTTTTGTAAGAAAGTATTATGACTTCTGGAATGCTGAGTTCTGAAATCTGATTTACACCAAGAAATAAATTAAATTGTTATGTTTTCCATAAATATTAACATTTAAATTAGTAGGTTAAAAAAACACTCCAGCAGTATAAAGTGATGTGTTGTAAATGGCGTTTAGATCACTCGGCCTCCCCTTTCCTGTAAATTAAAGCAATTACTTACTATTAATCTCATGGGTACAAATGGTCTCCTCTCCACTGTTCAGCTCTATCTCTATCAGTTTTTCGCTAGTTATGATCTCCCATTCAGCCAGTTTAATGCTTCTCATATAGAAGTATTTCGAGAGAGGGCACATGTGCAGAAACTGCCTTACTGCTCTGGCAGTGCTTTACATCATTGAATCCAAAATAAGAAATAAACATTGATACCAAAAATTCTCTAATAACTACTGGTTCCCTCTTCTTCCAAGAAAGGATTAGAAATATATGACAGACGGAATCAGTTAGAGCCCAAACACAAACTGATCCCAGAGTTCCACCCCAACCATGCTTTGACAAACAGTTTATGCATAAAACAATATTTTAACACAAGGGGGATCAAACTAATTTGTTGAATTACATTTCCAGCATGGTAATCTAAGCATTACATTCTATAAATATCTATAGAAACATTTTTCTTTCGCTCAGCTGACAAAGTAGTGACACGTCTGTCTTTTTTCTTGTACAGAGAGGACCTGGCCATGCGGTTAGATCTAACAGAAGCTAGAGTTCAGGTCAGTATTGTACATCTATCAACAGACATAATCAGAGTACATTCTACTTCACTATCCAGGCATTGCACCTTTCATTCCCATTCTCTCATGTGTTCCCATTCACCTGTGCCCACAATGAGCATTCTACATGGCGATTAAACAAACACAACTTTAATGCATTGATTGATAAGCTGTATTTATTTATTTATTTAAGTTTTCTTGCATGCACAAAAAAAGTATGTTTTTCAGAGCCTTGTGCCAGAAGTGTTTTTCTTTAGCCACGTCCCCTTATGCAAGAAAGACTTCCTAAAATCACTTTATGTACACAGTCAGCCCATAGCAGCACTGAGTGACCTGCTTTAATTTCATAAACGAGAATACGGGTGAGCGGGATATTAAAGTGCAAAGTATACACACAAAAAAAACTGTACAAAACCCAAAGTTAAAATACATTGCAGGGCACCACAATCACAAATGTGAAGGTAATTTTAGTTACCACTTTGATGAGGAAAAAGGAACCTCACATGAAAGAGACAGACAAAAAGAGAATCATAGTGCAAACTTTCATTTACAATGCTGGGTAAAAATGAATACAAGGAACACTCACAAGGATATTGGCACAATTAAAAACATAAATTGCTCAAAAGCCCCCAGGAATATTTCACAACCTGGCTGCAGACAAACAGAGAAACAACAAACAGGTAGTGATATCCTTACTATAAGTCTCCCTGGATGTCCTCTACTAATACATTTTGCTTTGTAGTTCAAATCGCTCAGTGCCGTCAATGACTGATCTGTGTGCATACAGTGGCATAGCATGGGCGGTGCCACAAGGGGTATTGCCCTAGGCACAAAATACTTAGGGGCACAGAAGGTGAAATTCTTAGGGGAGCAAAAGAAAAAAAAAAAAAAGTGATAATGAATACAAAATAGAGCTCCCTCCCCCTCACACTGAAAACCTCCCAATACTGAAATATTCTACACAGAATCTCAACAAGATGGGACATATAATGTTTTATGGTATTTTTCTTGCTAATTACAGCCATGCTGACCTCATGTAATCCTTACATACCGCTGGTATCTTCAAACTGGAAATCACGCTATTCATAGGCATTATGTAAATGCCTATGAAATTGTATCATACCGGTACAATGGTAACGGGTGCCTAGATAGCCTCGCTCCTCCTTCTCTACCTGCCTCGTCTCCCTGATGTGTGCGACATTGGTAGTTGCGTTGCTTAATTTTTCAAATCCAACTCACAACTAAACTAATGTGTATACGCATTACTTTAGGCATGAGGAGAATTTTAAAAATTATGCACCTATCAGTGTCATATACATCACGGAGGCAAATCGTGTAGGGTAGGAGAATCGAGGCTACCTAGGCGCCCGTTAAGGGACTCTTGGAGTGCTAACAGTTCACAGGTTAGGGGGCGCAATACTTGCCTTGCCCCAAGCACTGGCTACCTACGCTACGCCACTATGTACATACATTTTATAAAGAAGTCTTTTACTGGAGTGAAGGGAGCGTGACTAAGGGCTGTATAACATGTCTGAAGAAGTTTGGCTGAAATTTGCATGGGTGATATTTTGACAAAGGGAGACTTATGATTAGTTCTAATTAAAAGTATTTTTTTTAAATTTAGTTTTCATTTTCTCTTGTCTTATCTATGGGCTGTATTTTTAGAAAGCCCTTGGAAAGATGAATGTGACACCCTATATTGTCATCTTTGATAAAAACTTGGTTTTATATAATACTTTATTTGTAGTAACTAAAGTCTGGGTTGGATTTATCACTTTGTAAGTTTTTATACGTTTGCAACTAATAGCTATATATTGTGGAATTTGTGAGTTATTAAAATCTCTTCTTTTTTAGTTGCTAATAAATCCTAATGGTGGGTACTGCCCAGGATACTCCTACCGCTGTCATACTGGCACCTGGCTGCTGGAGTCTTTTAAGCCTAATAACACTTTTTATTTAGAAAATATTTATTTTATTTTTTGTAAAAACTAGATTTGAGCATGCAGCAAAGCTCAGCATATTAATGAGGCCAAAACCTATAAATTGCATTAAAGTTAACAGAGATGTGGAAACTCCCAGCTATGTGTAACACGGTCAGTGGTCTGTTTACAGGGTTACATCCTGGTCACAGATGCACAGTATGTTAATGATATATTGTCAAGATGTGCAATGTATTTACAATAAACTGTGTTGTTTCAAGGCTCAATATTTGTAAGTCAAGCCGCTTTAAAGTGGGGCCTGCCAGGTGGGGGTCCCTGCCTGCACTACAATCTCCAGAGAACTGGAAGTTCTGAAAGAGAACTTCCGCTAGCTCTCCTGAGCTAAGCCCTGCAATACAGGGTTTAGCTCATTGTGTGAAAGATATTAGTTGATGGAGACTAGCAGGTTAAACAAGGACTCTCACTTTCTATGTGTGAAAAAATAATTACATACATATATTAACATATTTACATATTTAGAAATCAACCCTATGATTTTTATTTATTTTGCTTTATATTATAAATCTAAAACAAAAATATTTTCCAAAAAGTAAATAATTTACTAGTATTTACTAGTGGAATTTTACAATTATTTCTATATAATTCTACCCAGAGACTTAAAGGGACACTATAGTCACGAGAACAACTACAGCTTATTGTATTTGTTCTGGTGAGTAGAATCATTACCTTCAGGCTTTTTGCTGTAAACACTGTCTTTTCAGAGAAAATGCAGTGTTTACATTACAGCCTAGTGATAACTTCACTGGCCACTCCTTAGGTGGCTGTTAGAGATCCTTCCTGGGTCATGGCTGCCTAAAATGCATCCAAACATTCAGTATCTCCTCCCTCTGCATGCAGACACTGAGCTTTCCTCATAGAGATTCATTGATTCAATTCATCTCTATGAGGAGATGCTGATTGGCCAGAGCCGTGTTTGAATTGTGCTGGCTCTGCCCCGATCTGCCTCCTTGTCAGTCTCAGCCAATCCTATGGGGAAGCATTGTGATTGAATCAGGCCACCACTTCTGATGATGTCAGATGTCAGAGGAAGTTCACAGGCAGAGGCAGCAGCTTCAGACTTGAATACAAGTAAGATTTTACTATCTTTAGGTAGGCAAAAGGGGCTAAATTGTGGTTTTAACACTATAGGGTCAGGAATTCCTTTTTTTTGTTCCTGACCCTATAGTTCTCCTTTAAAGTAAATAGGGCTGGCAAGTATTGTAGGATAATAATAATAATTGGTATCACTAGTGATCTGAAAATTGTGTGTTAAAAGTAATCAGAAAAGCACATGTGCATGTGGCAAATGGAATTGCTCACAATCTTATCGTATAATTATAAAGTTTCCATATATTGCTCTGTGCTGCAATAATTAGAAAAAAATATATATAAAACATGTTTAGTTTACAAAATGGTTCACACAAACACTTAACACAAACCAGAGTTACCAATGGAAACTTGCCAAAACTTTCAAAAATAGACATAAATAAATGTTTCTAAGGCAAAGCTGAACTTTTTAGGATGTTTAAAAATTCACAGAAGGAATGGCAAATCTCATTTAAAAGATCTACTACATTTAAGTATTTATTGGCCTGAAGCCATTTGGTTAAGATATATATCTTTGGGTGGCAGAGCTAAGCTGTCAAGCTGACCGGTCACACTCTTAATGTGCTCGGTACTGCAATGCCAATTTGCTGCTAAAACACTTGTGGCTCAAATTTGGATCCTCTGAAAGGATAATACACTATGGGCCAAAAAAACAAGCCTGACAAACTGAGACTGAGCATGACCATTGGAGATCTGACGGCAAGCCCATGGCGCCATTGAGCCCAAGATGACCACTTACATCGACGACTGCTCCGATATGTTGGATAATGGGAGCCGAAGATCTATTCTTACCTGCACCGCAGATGCAAGCACCACCTCTACCCCAAGCGGACTCATCCCCGGTGACATGGCCGTCATGCAGGAACTGCTGGCGCATTTCCAGCGCAATATTCAGGCTGATGTCCCTAATATCCACAAAAATCTACAAGGCCTGACAGGCCACATGACGGCCCTGGAGCAGGACTCTCATAATACTGCTCAGCGACATATGCTCCTACAGCAGGTGCTACAATTGTCTCATAGGTGCAGTATGGCCTATGAGGCAGGCCAAGGCGGTGGGGTTTGAGGGCATGTTCCGGATCTCCAGACCAGCTCAGACCCCAGCCAAAGCACCACGGGACTTGGTTATTCGAATCCAGGATGGGCGATAAAACTGCTATCATAAATGCAATTTGAGGACACTCTCCATATACATTTGAAAACATGTCCCTAACATTTTACGCTGATCTATCAGGGGGAAACCTGATGTTGCGGAGTTCACTCCAACTCTTCACCTCCCTCCTCTGTGCACACAACACCAGATACTGGCAGCAGATGTCCCACTAGAGGTGGCATTAACCCTGCAGTTAATCAGTAACTGCAATAAATACAATTGCATGGTTAAAGGGACACTATAGTCACCTGAACAACTTTAGCTTAATGAAGCAGTTTTGGTGTATAGAACATGCCCCTGCAGCCTCACTGCTCAATCCTCTGCCATTTAGGAGTTAAATCCCTTTGTTTATGAACCCTAGTCACACCTCCCTGCATGTGACTTGCACAGCCTTCCATAAACACTTCCTGTAAAGAGAGCCCTATTTAGGCTTTCTTTATTGCAAGTTCTGTTTAATTAATATTTTCTTATCCTCTGCTATGTTAATAGCTTGCTAGACCCTGCAAGAGCCTCCTGTATGTGATTAAAGTTCAAGTTAGAGATTGAGATACAATTATTTAAGGTAAATTACATCTGTTTGAAAGTGAAACCAGTTTTTTTTTTGCATGCTCTGTCAATCATAGCCAGGGGAGGTGTGGCTAGGGCTGCATAAACAGAAACAAAGTGATTTAACTCCTAAATGACAGTGAATTGAGTAGTGAAATTGCAGGGGAATGATCTATACACTAAAACTGCTTTATTTAGCTAAACTAATTTAGGTGACCTGGGACTATATGCACTTAGACCACTTTAATGAGCTGAAGTGGCCTGGGTGCCTATAGTGTTCCATTTAATGTTGTGGCTGATCAGTGTGTAATGCATGCAAAAATGACATGCCATCTTCACTGTGTAGTAACATGTTAAAATAATTGTATATCATTTGTTTGTTGTAAAATGGTTATGGAAAAATACACATTGGAGTTTATTTGCTAAACTGAGAATTCTGAAGAATTAACTAGGAAATTGTAAGATCGAAGTTGAAACTCTATGGTCTCTTTGTAAAAAAAAAAAAAAAAATACAAAGTGTTATTCAATGAAGTGTTAATTTTCGTAATTTCAAGGTCGCTTTCAAATTTGGGACTAAAATAGCTGAACTGGAAAACAATTTCCAGGTATGGTATCTTTTCAGTGTGCATATTGTATCCTAAATTTTGAAATTCATTTTTTTCATTCCTGTGTCTTCCTTTTTTGTTCCATTACAGGTGTGGTTTCAAAACCGAAGAGCTAAGTGGAGGAAACGTGAGAAAACCGAACTGATGGGCACTGTTCCTGGATTTGCTATGGGACATCCCTTGGGACTATATCTTGATGTCCCTTTAAATCCCAATCCTCTTGTGGATCCTGCCTGGAAAACAGAACCTCTGTCAACAGTGACATCACCATCTGCAGCTTCTGCCTTTAGCACAGCTCCGTTGGGACCACTTGGACTCAGTAACCTTTCCTGGACCTCATTTTTCAGGAACCCCATTCTGAGTCCTTACTTTGGAAGGTACAATAATTTTTTATTCAGGGGTCACATCCTAAATTATGAGAACTCATCAGGTTTGCCATCCTTGCCCATCTGTTAAGAAACTCATATCATCCCACTCCTGACTATCTCAAATTTGTTGTTAAAGTGCCTTATTCTATACCCTCCTGATATCCTCCTTCTTTGTCTATCTTGTTTTCTTATTTTGTGTAATTTTAAGGGTCACCGCACCCCTTTTGAGTGGGGGGGAGGCTTTCCTGTGTGCCTATTGGGCACTATGGAGAAGGTCTTCTCCTCGAATTGCAGTAAAACATGCAAAAACAAAGAATTTGACTTAACTGGAATCCAGTGCCAGGCGAAGATGTTCCCGGTGTTGACATCACATCGGCCGCACGTGGTCCAATCACAGGCTTCTCATAGAGAGCAAGGAGTGGAGAGGATGAGGGAGGGAGAATTTTTCCCACTTCTTTAACAGTGGTATTTGGGTGGAAGCACTCACGGGGAGGGAGGGTGGGAATAGAGAACTAGCTTTCCCTTGCAGGCAGAGCACCTCTGACACGCGCACTGACTACAGATGTTTTTTATGCACAGAGTTGACATTGACAGCACGGAACAGACTCACGTGTAGATAACTCAGTATGCGCAGTGTTTCAAGCCGAAACACTGCACATACTGACTTATACCACCGTGACCACTTCATATCACTGAAGTGGTCGTGGTGGTTGGAGTAACCCTTCAACTGCCCCTATTTGCAGGTATTCATCTAGAATCAATGCAATATAAAGTGTAAAACATAGAAATAACAATTTTTGTACAATGATAAAGACATAACAATATCACGGAAAAAAATATTTTTGGTAGTAAAATCAAAGAACATTACTAATAGTCTATGAAACACCCATCAATGTTTCCTCTCTGTAGAATAGAGCCTCTACTTCCCATGTCACTGTGCTGCGAAAAGAATAAAAAGTGTAGTGGTGGATGTTTAATAGTCAAATAGTCAAAATAAAAACAATTAAAATCAACTCACACAGCTTTATACACATTCAACATAAATAGAACAATTACATTTTAATCATTTCTAACTTTTTTAAATGGTTACTCCAACCCTTATATATAATTTTTTCTAAATGAATGATGCCCTATTATTTTTTTGGTCCCCCATCCCAATCGCTACCAAAAAGTCGTGTTACTTACCTGAAATCCAGCGCTCTCTCCTGACTTCATACCTGCTGTTGCACGATGCAGCCATAGATAGACTTCTCATAGAGAAGCCTTTGATTGGACCATCTAGATGGCTCAGAGCAAATGCGCGTACTGAGAGCTGAAAGTTGGAGAGAGAATGGGGAGTCTGAAAACTAAAAAAAAAAGAATGGGATCAGGAGGTGGCTGGGCTGCATGAAGGGAGAGTGGGGAGACATAAGACTAATACAGGATTATTACAGGACATTCAGGATTTATAAGCTTCATACAAATAAATGAAGGTAAAGCAATTCTTTACTTGTTTCTCCACAACTTTCAAAATGCCGACTTCACTCTATGAATTTTCCTGTGAGCAGTGTTCCTCCCTTCACAGTAAGAAGTGTGGAAAGAGTGGAAACTCAGTTCCCTCAGAAAATTTAGTAAATTCCTCTGGATTACCACTGGACTGAAGACCAAGTTTTATTGAAATTACTTTCTGCTTTTAGTATTTGCTGAGTAAAAAAATCAAAGACAACAGAAACAGCAAGGTATGCTGGATCAATGAAGAGATGGATAAGATATTTCCTAATGGAAAGATTCAATGATGGAATGTGCTTATTCTCATTTTGTGGAAATTCAATATAGTACATAAGAGAGATCAGAGAGAAACATATATTTTTTTTCTGCTGTAAACGTAAAAGAACCTGTATTGCTAATGCGATAGTGTCTCTGTTGCTAATTTAATAAGTCCCTCCACCTCAGAGCATAAGAAGCTTACAAAAATGTCTAAACTTACCTCTTTCCAGTGTTGAGGCTCTCTCATTCCTGGCAATGTCTCCTCCTTCCAAGATGGCAATGGTGGGACCTAATGCACATTCTCGGCAAGTGCTGTGCACATTAATGCTTACCCTCGGGAAAGCATTGAATCAATACTTTCCTATGTGGAAATTGAAGACGTTAGACGTCCTCATGCAAAAAGCTCCACTATGCACCAGCAAGCGCCTCTGGTGGCTGTGTGTGGAAAACAGCCACTATAGAAGGCCTTGACCATGCAATGGAAACATTTTTTTGAAACTGCAATGTTTTACATTGCATGGGTGAGGAACACTGCTCCCAGACCATTTCAATGCGATCTGGGTGGTCTGGGTTCCTATAGTGTCCTTTTAAGGAAACACTTCAGACACATAAAGCAGTTTAGCCTGCTAAATTGTAACTTTTATACATTGTTACACCCCTAGCTTTCAGTCAGACAAATGGCCCTGTTATTTCCTGGCTTGTGTAGCTCAGGTTAGCTAACCTCGAGAGGCAGCAATTACCCAGAGCACGTTCCTTGCAAAGATCTCATTGAGCTACATTTGGAAGTCTGATTGGACAGCCACAGAAAGTCTGGGCTGGGAAAGGAGAAGGCTTGTAAAGGCTGCAGACAATAGATCTGCAGCTTTTGCAAACTTTTTTTAGATTTACTAAATAGTAATTTGTATTATTATTTTTTTATATATATATATATTTGGGCGGGGGAGTGTCCAGTAATTTCTAAAAATGGAAACAAGTTTACCTTTAATAAAAAAATCATATCTTCACGAAAAGATTTGTTGCCACTGGTTGTTCAATGTATATTTGAGGTCATACACAGGATTTCATTGTTTATTAAAGAACATTTATTTGGCATTTTTTTTATATTTTGGCTAAAACCATGTAGTTTAGATCCAGCAAACTGACCCAGTAACGAAGCACAAATATTGTCAGAATTGAGTAGTGAATTGAAGTGCCAAGTATGTTCCAATACATACGTCTGTCAAGTGAAACGTTACTTTATTACCCCAGGAATATTCATAAGGGCCATTAGATGCTTGGAACATAGCCCAACTGTAAATATCACATGGCAGACCAACATAGATAAATAACCATGCCCCTGTTTTTGTGTGATCCACAAGTCAATATTTAATCTGTTACATTTCATTTTGCAGGTTCCTCAGCATCTTAAACCCTTTGGTAACATCGTCCTCGCTCTTGATGAAAAATCCAGTAACACCAACATCAGAGTCCCAGTTTCCCCTTCTCCAAGATCCTGCTACAGATGAATGGAAGCCACCCCGTATTGCAGCCTTGAGACTCAGTGCAAAGGAACACTCTGAGCATGTCTCCTCTTTAGATCACCTTCCCAGCTTCCAAAATGAAAATAAAGACTTGAGTTAACTTCATTTGAAGAGGCTCACAAGTGACACGTATGTGTCCTTTTTATGGACATCACCAGATAAAAGAGAGATATCAAACCCTTCATTAAAAGTTTCTAAGAGTTCCAAGGCTAAAAAGTATCTCTTCTTCAATAGTCTGACATTAGGAGGACAATGTTGGATTCCTAATTAAACACATGGAGAACATACAGTGAATCTGTCAGTGTGTGTTACACAAATATTTTGCAACTTGCCAAGTGCCTTAGAATGGTGTGACCGAATCAGTACATCACTCCGTCTGGATTCCTGACATTAATCGTGTAAATTAGTCTGATTGGCATGACAAAATTAATTTAATATAATGTAACACATTACATACAAATGTAACCTCTGCCTAAAGTGTCATGAGTTGTGTGACAATGAAGTGCACTTCTTTATATTATTGTGTAAATCTTTGTTTGTGTTAATGAAAGATTAGGCAATTAAGTTATTTTGGAAAATCATTCATTGTGTAAATTATCTTATTTTAAGAATAAAAATATATAATCTATTTACTAAGACTGCTGGTGTGATTTAGTAATATTTCATAAACTGGTAGCCACAAATATTCTGCTACACCAAATATCGTTGTGATCAGCAACATCAGGAGTACATTAAGTAAAGGAATTTAGGAGAGCCTTTTCTGACAAAATCCAGATATTTTATCAGATAGCAATACATTACCGAATATATCTATATGTATACAGTCATGGAAAAAAGAAAGTACACCTCTTAAAATTATACATAATAACAAGCATCTGTTCCTTAGCATGTCTTAAAATTATATAAATATAACCCTTCAGATGAAGGCCAACACGTGACATATTACACCATGGTTTATTTAACTAAGCCATGTGTGAGAAATAAGTACACCCTTACTGCTTCCACTGGAATTAAGAGGATGAGTAGCAGACAGGTGCTGCTAATCAAATGCCATTAATTAATTGATCATCAGCAAGTGTGGCCACCTTTATAAAAAATTTAGTTTTAGCACTTTGCTGGTCTGGAGCAATCAGTTATGTGTTAACACAATGCAAAGGAGGAAACACATGAGCAATGATCTTAGAGAAGCAATTGTTGCTGCCCATCAAAATGGGAAGGGATATAATGCCATTTCCAAACAATGTAAAGTCCATCATGCTAGAGTGAGAAAGATTATTCAAAAGTGGAAAACTTTCAAGACAGTTGCCAATCTTCCCAGGAGTTGATGTCCTAGCAAATTCACTCCAAGGTCAAACCATGCAATGCTCAAGGTCAAACCCAAGTTACATCTCAGACTTTACAGGCCTCAGTTAGCATGTTAAATGTTAAAGTTCATGGCAGTACAAATAGTAAAGGACTTAACAAGTATAGTTTGTTTGGAAGGGTTGTTCTAAAAGAGCATGCTAGCACGGCTTAGGTTTGCAAAGTTGCATCTGGATAAACCACAAGACTTTTGGAACAATGCCCATTGGACAGATGAGACCAATGTGAAGATGTTTGGCCTTAATGCATAGCGCAACATTTGGCAAAGACCAAGCACAGCATATCAGCACAGGCACCACATACCAACTGTCAAGTACGGTTGTGGAGAGGTGATGATTTGGGCTTGTTCTGCAGCCACAGGACCTGGAAACCTTGCAGTCATTGAGTCGACCATGAACTCCTCTGTCTACCAAAGTATTCTAGAGTCAAATGAGAGACCGTCTGTCTGACAGCTAAAGCTTGTCCTAATTTGAGTTATGCAAAAGGACAATGGTCTCAAGCACACCAGCAAATATACAACAGAATGGCTAAAAAAGAAAAGAATCAAGGTTTTGCAATGGGCCAGTCAAAGTCCAGACGTGAACCCAACTGAAATGCTGTGGCGGGACATTAAGAAAACTCCGCATATAATCTCCCCAATGATTTAAGAGACAGATCAAGTCATACAGAAAACAAGTACTTCAAGTCATTGCTGCTAAAGGTGATTCTACAAGTTGTTGGATCATAAGGTCTACTTTTTCACACATGGCTTCTCTATTTTGTCATCTACCAAACAGCTCCATAATTTGGTACCCTTAAATATGGCAGTCCCAACAGGGTACCAATTTATGGAGTTATCACCTAAATGGATGCAAGAAGCAGCCGTGGCACGGATTGGAATTTCCTTCGTCCAAATGAAATTCAAAACGCAAATAATTACCGAATTTCATCCGAAAATGAATTAACAGACAAAATTTGGTTCGGATTAAACAAATATTTTGGCGGTGCCCAAGTCTAATAGCCACTGCAATCAGCAATGAGATGAAGCAGTTGCAGTGCACACAGAGTCCCTTTAATAACCTGTTATTGAATAAACCCTTCTATTATATCTAAGCAAACCCCAGTGATTTACTGAGTACTGAAATGTAGGAGGCCTGTTTTGCAGTAAAAAAGAAAAAAAATGTAACTGAGAAACCAAACATGTAGTTAATTTAATTTTCTCTACTTTGCTCATTCCAAAGAATGTCTCTATGTGAAGTGGAACCCAGCTGTGACAGCTAATAATATAATAAAAGTTCACAGGTAATGCTGTAAAATGTAAAACCAGCTTAAATTCAAAGCTAATCAACAGCTTTCTTGTTGTTGAATTGTGAAAATTCTTCTCAATATATTTCTGTGCCTGCAGACACTGTGATTTAAATAAAACGTAAAAAGACTCAATTATTCATTAATGGCCAACAGTTCCATGTCCCATCATCAGAATCCGACTAATTCTTCCACCAGCCGATGAGACAGATGTTGCATCAGTGTGTACCTGTGCTTCTTCACCTGTTTTGAACAGTGAATTGTGGATAATTGCAACATGCTCAAACCCAGGGTGTTCTGTTTTAATTGCTGCAACTAAAAAAAAATGTTCTGAAAATGGATGGTTTGTAAAAAGAAAAAAAAAACACAATACATGTCAAAGAGCCACTCTAAGCATTGCAATGCTGATGTATACCGCAATCTGCTGCTACTCTGAGCTCTGAGGATGGCTTAGAAAGTTTTTGGGAAAAATTTAGGTTTCTGTTTTCTCCTTATCGCTGTCAATCACACAACTCAAAACAAATGTTCAAGGCAACTTGTTTCAATTTTGTCCAAGTTTTCATGTAATCTTGGTATGCTGCATACAAATTTGGATCCGAGTTCTGTGCAGGAGTGTATGTGATAAGAGTTGATGCCAGGTGTGTATGGGGCCTTCCTTCAACTTAGGGGACACTATAGTCTTGAGGGGACTTGAGGGACACTGTAGTCAATCACAACACTTTGTTTCAATAAATTGGTCCGGGTGCAGTGTCCCTGTCCTTTTAACCGTACAATGTAAAGCACTGCAGTTTTTTAGAAACATGTTTACATTGCAGGGTAAATTCTACCAGAGGTGCTTCGGCACCACTGACCTAGTAAAACACAATCACATGTCACTGAAGCCTACATAGGAAAGCAATGATTCAATACTTTCCTATGGAGAAATTTGAATGAGTGCACAACACTCACAATGCACGAACATTAGGTCACCAATGCTCTTGTCTGAGGAGCGTTGGATTGGACATTGACATCTTTTGAAAAAATTTAATTGCAAACTGGGTGGGACCTATGTCTGACTAGTGGCAGGTTTATATTCCTAAAACCATAGTGTTCCTTTAAAAGTCCACCATATTAAATTTTATTTTGTTTCTTGATGTTTGTTGTGCAATATCTTTGAGATGCAATTTGTAGGAGTAAAAAAACACAGGGATTTTATTACCCCCAGTTTCCATTTAATTCAGTGGTTCACTATAGCTGTCAAAAATAGAATGTGGAAAATAACATTACCATGTATTCTTAAGATGTCATCATCCAACATTCGATAATAGTATTCATTTCTAAAAGAAATTCAATAAAGATTTTTTTTAAATTAAATTTGGTCATAGCAGCTGAAAAGTTTTTGGTTGTTTTATTTTTTTTACAATAACCCCTTAAGGCCGGCGGGCGTACTATGCCGTCGTTAGGGACCCGGCTCTAAACACTGGTGGGCGGCATAGTACATCCCCGCCGTCCAGGGGACTTACCTGCTCACTGGCGATACCCCCGAACCGGCCCTCCTGGGCTACGTGATCGCAAAGGTCCTTGCAAAGACCTCATGATCACATGGACGTAATAGCCGTCCATAGCAGTGCCAGCAGGGGCAGTGCCTGGAATGACAGGTCGTCCCCTTGCTGTCTGAAATAAAGTTCAATAAAGAGTAAAAACAGTGTAAAATAAAATAATATATACTTACATCATATATACACCATATCTAACGTCGGATGCGGCTAAGGTACTGGTTCATGCTGTTGTTCTCTCTCGCCTTGACTACTGCAATCCCCTTCTCACCTGTCTTACAAGTTCCCAACTTGCACCGCTGCAATCTATAATGAATGCGGCTGCGAGGCTTATTTTCCTGTCCGGTCACACCTCCCACGCCCCCACGCTCATTCAGTCCCTGCATTGGCTTCCAGTTAGATATAGGGCCCAATTAAAAATTCTGGTGCTTGCTTACAAATCCCTACATAATGCTGCTCCAACATACCTATCCTCCCTCATACACAAGTATGTCCCGTCAAGACCCCTGCACTCAGCCCAAGACCTACGCCTATCCCCTGCCCGGATGCCCACCTCTGATGCTCGCCTTCAAGACTTCTCCAGGGCTGCACCTATTCTGTGGAACTCCCTTCCCTCCTCAATCAGACTTTCACCCAGCCTCCACTCCTTCAAAAAATCTTTGAAAACTCACTTCTTCATTAAAGTGTATCAATTAAACTGTCAGCAGGTTTCTCATCCCCCACACCATGACTCCTTTCCTGCAACTGTCAAAAATGACCTACCAAGCACTCAATAAACCCTTCTGTAACAAACTATTTAATTCCCCTACTTTAACCCTTTGTGTCACTATACCCCACTCCCTCTAGCATGTAAGCTCATCGAGCAGGGTCCTCAACCCCCTCTGTTCCTGTACGTCCAGTGGTCTGATCTCAATTATGTGTCTGTTAGTCCGCCCATTGTACAGTGCTACGGAATTTGTTGGCGCTTTATAAATAATACAATAATAATAATATACCCTCAATATATGTTTACTTGCACTCACGCTTA